AACCGCTTCTTCACGAAAGGCATAATGACGCCAGTAACGCATAATGACGCCAGTCTGTCTGGTTTCCCTTTCTCCTCACTCTAGACCACAGCGCTAGCCGTATTTAGGACAGACGCTTCTATTTCCTCTCTTCGCATGACTGAGTGTTCAGTGTGCGATCGACATATTGTCACGAAACAAAAGTAATTTTGAGTTTCGCGAGCTCCACTTCGAGTAAATATCAAGAAAATATGGAAAAAAATTGGCTTTCCGGATATTTTAAATTATTTTTGGAAATTTAGATGTGAACCATCGTCTCCTAAGTGTTAGACAAATCCTTTGCAAGACTAGTAGCCTTCGCCAATTTTTCAAATAGGGAAAAGGCAGATTTTATGGAAAATGGCTTTTTCAGTCATTTAGATAGGGAAATCGAGATTTCTTAGAAGACGCATCGATAGAGATTCTTAGCAGCTTTCGATTGACACCTCGATCACGTTTCCAGGACTCGTGCATTTTTCAGCCAGAACGACTGAGAATATCGAGACACGGCATGAGACTTTTCGTCTCAGGACGTCGAGTTTGATATGAAATCGAGAAAAAAGAAAATTCAGAATTTTCGTGATTTTCTGAAGATAGCCGAGTAAAGCCGAAGACTGTTTGATTCCGTTCATTGTACGACGCACCTTGAAGAGTCGAGATGACGCATGAATCAAATGAGATGCAAGCAGCGGTAAAAGGATATCAAAGAAAAGTTTGAGAGCAGCGAGTGTATTTCAAAGACCAGCGCCTGCATGAAAACAGGTCGTAAACGCTGGCAAATCCATACGAAATGAGTTTTTCTCGATTTGCAGACATCGGAAATTGCGACCGGTGATTGGTCTAGAGGCATCGGATGACGTTACGGGAAGAGTTGGTTCATTTTCTATAACTATGCCACAGTATACTATATACAGTAATCCCACTTCGGGTGATTTTTGGTTTGAATTTTCTATACGCAGACCCAGGAGTTGCAGTCTCCGGTCTGCGCAAACGATGAGTTCAAGACAGGCACGCAACCCTTCCATAGTTGTCGAATTTCATGGGTTTCACTCAACCTACTGTGAAATGAAAATATATTTTGCCACATCCGAATATGCATATCTGCCGATCTCATGAATTTTTAAAATATACTCGAAACATCATCATCATTGTCCAAATGATCTGGGTTACTTGAATATCACACAGATGCAAAATTATCATTTGTACAATTTTCTCAGGTGCCCAACATGGTTTTCTTCGACTGTATTTTTGTGAGCAGTTTATATGACCTAACCGTGTTAGGAATCACACGTTAAAAGGTAAGACCTCGTTAGTCCTCAGCTCGCACAACTTTCTCATCTTCTGAGATTTGTCGTTCGTATGGGGGCGACAGCTGATTAACGGAAAAACAGATTTTTTAAACAGTTGTTAAGTATGTTGATCAGTGTTTAGACGCTTTGGTTGAGATTGTAGTAGGGAAAAATGTCATTAGTGTCAAATACGTCAGCATTGTAAAAACTGAAACTCCTGAACACCAAAACATCAAAGGGATCGACGCTAAGTGGGACTAGTGTGTATAAGTACACTGTGACTATACGAACGTCCAAGAAATGTTAGTTAGTTGGTTGTTGAACATGAACTTGTGCTAGTCGCTCCTGAAAACTTGGAAAAATTTTGAAATCTTTTTGGACTCAAAAGATTTTCGTTGTAGTTTTTACTGAAGAGAGTTGCGGTTGCAGTTATTTGGTGATATACAGAGAGTTGTTAGTCAATAGTTCGTTAGAACTAGTTGGAGATTGTTGAGGATCAGATTGCTGTTTGGAATTTTTGTTGCAGAACACTTGGCTGTCTTCAAGGTTCCATTTGTCACTCCGCCACCGGACAGCAGTTTGGAAAATCCTGCAAATGAAGAGCAGGTCCCTACTAAAGTTGCTCAGGCTCAGGTACCCTGTGGAAACCAAACAGTGCCAACGAAGTAGAGATATATAGAGCTTGAATTTGAGAGGGTCAAGACATCAATAGTTACGTCCTTCGGGCAAACGAACCCATCTAACCGTTGTGAGCATCTAATGTGCATCGATAACTTTCTACCTTATCCTGCGAGCGGCCCTCATTCTAGGGTGCAGTTCAACCGTTAGGGTCCTTGTTCCCCAACAACTTACTCAGTTCACCCTGTAGGCCTTGGATAGGAAAGTAGTTTCGCGATCCAAGGGTGAACTTGAAAATATTAGATTTCCATGAATCCTTCCCTCTGACTATTTCCTCGTCGGAGCCATATTAGGGAAAAATTCGAAATCGAAATGCAGACTAGGGCAAAACACGCGCGAGCGCAGCTTGCACAAAATACTCTAGTGCCAAATCGCGAGACCACAAATTTCGGTTAAACGAATTTCTTGTCAGACATTTTTTGCCGCCTGAGTGCGAAGAATCGACGCGGAATCCCCCAGGAATCTGTGTTCACGAGAAACAGTATTCCGAGAACTCCGATAGAATTAGCCAGTCTGAGGCTAAGCTCTAATCAGCGCAGTCATTTTTCGTACGAGGACATCAGTACCTCTTTCTTGGTCGCAGAGCGACAAACCCTGGACATTGGTGGTTTTTCAGCAAGTAAAATAATTGGAGAATTCGACATATCCCAAAGAACAACGCTGTCCTCCTGTAACACACCGCGAAATAGCATGCTTGATTTAAATCGCATTAGGAAAAATAAAACCTCGGCGATGAGAAAAATTGATTTGCTACACGCAAAGGTGGAACGTCAGGCGACGTCCCTCCGAGAAACTGGACATCATCTCCGAGGAGATACTCCAGCCAGGACACACAGCAAACCACAATTAGGGCTTCGTGCAATACTGAATATGCGAGTACGATCTCCTATGCCGAAATCTGCTCCAGAACCGAGAAAATCGCGTTTTGAAACTTATGCGGAGCAAAACGCAGAAATGGAGAATTTTTGCCGACGGTGGCAACCGGAAGGAGGGTTGCCTCCGGATATGAAGAATTCTGCCTGAATGCGAACCATTGAGCCACACTACGGAGGTGTTACCCACTTATGTCGTAACCCCAAGATCCGACGCACACAGGGTGTACAGCCATTCTGTGGAATTAGAAACCACGAGAGAGATATCGCCATTGTTAACTCCGACAGATAGTCGATAGTGCCGTTAATATGAAGATGTGGTGATGTATGACAAACGCTATATGTACATACACAAAATAATCACTAGAAGATTTTATTAATAAATAATCTTTCATTACATTATCATATTAATTTACATAAAATTTAAGTAACAATCCAAGCTTATCTCAAGTTAAAAAATGTTAATATTGAATACTTCAACTTAGACTAGTTGAAGTTATCACTTTTGTTGAGCAACGCGAGACGCACACATCTTTTTTGACTAAATTACAAGATATGAAGATTTTCAAGCAGTAACCCTCGTGTAAGAATTTTTGTACATTTCATATCACTAATCTATTATATAAAAATGGATGTTTGTTGGTTGGTTGGTAAGTGATAAACTTCTACATCGCTCAACCGATCGTGATGAAACTTGACATGTATAGGTAATTTTTCATAGAGGTTTTTAGGCTATAAATTTTGTTGTAACTCGCCACTAGATGGCGCTGTAGAACAATTTTTTTTAAAGCACTGTACTATAACGCTGCGCACGCCTAAGTTCGTTGATTCTAAATTTGGTACCTGAATGTTTGAAATGTTTGTAAAGGTTTGAAATGTTAATCGAAGGTTTTCACGGATAGGAATATGCCCATTCCACACGGAACAAATCCGAAGAATAATTTCAACATATTCCTGTCCGTGAAAACCTTCGAGAAATTTTTTACGAGAAATTGCACACATAATGGGAATTTCTGTAAAATCCATCAGAACTATTTTTAAAAAAAACAAATATAAATGCTATAGGATACGCAAAGTTCATCACCTTAATGAAAGGAGTTACGGAAGGAGAGTACGAGACGTAGAAATAGGGAAGTTGGAAATATTTGTAAAAAAATAATATGGGCGGTTCGAAATAAATGTTTGATTGGGAATTGTAGGAACAAATATCCTTGTCCCTTTCTTTTACGATGATCATTTGAATAGTGCAATATTCCCGTGAAAATGCATTAGAAACAATAGACCAATTAACTGGCCAGCTCGATCCCAAAATCTTACTCCTTTAGATTTTTTTGTCTTGGGATACATAAAGGATAAAGTTTTTTCAACACCAAGTACATATATCGACCATCTCAAACAGAAAATAAGAGATGCATGCATTAGTATTGCACCCATTATACTAGAAAATTGCCACAGAAATTGTCTGGACCGACAATTTATGTGCATTTAACAAAGAGGTCGTCGATTCAAGCATTTGATTTAGATTGCCATGTAGCTTTGATTTTCCGTATCGGTTTCATTTTTCCCAAAAGTTCATGTTTGATTGTTGTCACTGATGATGATGGTTGTTTCAAATGAAACCCTATGAAAATATCAAATATCTGTAATAAAAAAGACAGGTCCGTATTAAAAAAAAAAGTTGATGGTGGCCATGTTGACAAGAAATGTTTAATCGAATATTTATTATCACATCATCATAGTACACTTCGAATACAATAACATTTTCCTTTCCCACTTTTTTGTATTCTCCGAAATAACAATTTCATTCGAAAAAACGAATAACAGCATTTTTAGTTTTCCCAGTATAACTCGAGAAGGGCGTGAGTCCCCGTAAATTTTCTTCAACCACATGATAAAAGAAATGGCCTGTATAACTTATAAGAGGCATTCATATGAAATTCGGACGACAAAATTCACTTTGAATTTTCAATTTCTATTTCAAATTATTCGTCAATGAAAAACTGTTACCACTGGTTTCATTACTTGATGTCCGGATCATTTTTTTAAAAATAATAAATTAATATTTCAACGAGATTAACAAACTCCTGATATGCAAGCAACTATAAGATGAAACGAGTTATCGAAAATGGTATATAAATCATCCTTCAACTAATCATCAATCGGTATATAAATCATTGCGAGATCTGTGAGTATATAAGCGAAAATCGATACTACTATATGCTTTTATCCTCAGAACGAAAAGATGGCTATCAGTTACTGGGCTCTTTCTGTTCTTGTTAGTGTCTACCTATCTACTTCAAGTGTGAATTGCAGCCCTGTTGCTGGATCTTTGGATGAGAGTCTTCGAAATGATTTAACCATCTCAACATCAACTGGTATTGTTAGAGGAGGCCACGGAGGACAGACACCGAAAAAGAGAAATATTTTCAGATTCAGGAGTATTCCCTATGCAGAACCACCTTTGGGAAATTTACGATTCGAGGTAAGACATTTTTAAACATTACGTTCACAATAAATTCGAAATTTTTGGTATAATTAATTATGCATAACTACATATTATGAATTAACGTTCACCACCGTATCTATTTGTCTGCCTGACCGCCTTTCTGAATGTGATGTCCAAACAGATTTCCATACGATTCTTACCAATGGACAAGATGATTCGATATGGAGGTGTGAAATTTATCAATATTTTGTAAGAATTGGTTACTGTATGATAATGTTATCCATGAGAAGTCGGGGATACAGAGCTACCTAATCCTTTCGAGCCAATTGATGTGACAAGCGTGATGGAGAAAAGTTGCAATTGCTTTACATGGCGAAATATTTTGAAGGTTGAGGTAGCATTTTTGTTTAGTTTTGTCTTCAGTTAGATGGGTTATTAACTGTTTCAAAACTAAAATTCATTGTTGTGAACATATTGTCGTTCGAATAAATTTTACTAAACATCATTATTATTAGTTACTAACTAAGGTATCTGGCCTCGCTCAGGAAATTGATATGAGATTGTGTGATAGTTGTAAAGAAAGAGTCAACTTTAAATCAGGTAAACAATGAGTAGCCCCACCCATACAACAATGTCCTAGAACATTTCATAGCATTCGAGACCGTCCTGGAATGTTTCACAATGACCCAAGATATTGCGTATATTCCCCAGTGTTCAAGACCATCTCCAAACATTCCACAGCGTTTCAGAATGTTTTGGTATGAACTGAATTTTGTGGACTGTTCTCAAATACTATGGAACATTTAAGACTATTTTAGAAATTTCTAGGCGAAACCTCTAGACTTCATATCTTCAAAAGAACACCTCCCAGGCGTTTGAAAACGTTTTTTTAATTTTTGGCAGCTATCACAACATAATATGACTTTCTTCATCGTTACACAGTAATCTGAAGGTATCCGGATGTTTCTGAAGATTCCAGATTATTCCCAAGCATTTTACCACATTCCAAAATATTTTAAGATGTTCTAAAATGTTTTGGAATATTTTAAATTCTTCTAAAACACTTTCGAATGTTCTCGACTGATCTATAATTTTCTAAAGTTTATATTTTCGAAACCAAGCCCTTCACATCAAAACGGGAGCATTCTTCCCGGATGGGTGATAGAGAGCTACCACATTATGCAGTCCTGTGATTATTTCACTATGATCTGGAATGTTATGAATTTTTTCAATGGTTCAGACCATTTTTGAACATTTCACAACATTTCAGAACGTTCCAAGTTGTTCTGGAATGTTGTTGACTGCTTTTGAATTCTTGAATGTTCTGGGCCCTCCTAGAAGTTTCAAGAAAGCGAAACTTCTAGCCTTAATATTTTCAAAATACACCCCTCGAGTATGAAGTGGTAAAAACTGATATAGAATTCATATAAAGTTAAATAGAAAGTTTTTATGTTCAATAATAATTTCATATTTTCAGTATTTGTTCATCAAATCTTCTCTCTGGGGGTGTATAGAATAACTTAGAATTCGCCACAAAACTCCCCAAAACTCGATGAGAGCGGTGCCTATGCGAAGGTATCGATTCAAGTTGGATTTTAATTGCAGAACATATTTATGTCAAAAATCCCCTAAGGAAAGAGAGGATATCGTTTTCTAAATGATATCGTTTTCGAAAAATGTGGTTTGAAGTATTTTAAAACAAAATTGGAAGCAATGGGCAGTTACATTTTACTATGACATATGAATTGTTAAGATGTGTTTTCACGGAATGGTTTCTTTTTTTTCGGCTGATGTTTTTCTGGTAGAGATTTTTCAGATTTTTGTTTGGTTGATATTTTTTTACCTCTCCATTCGTGAGGTCGTTTAATTGTTGAGCGATTTCATCCAAGGAATCTTTCATTGAGCGCTTCCTATCTTTGAATTTAGGTAATACAAAGAGTGTGTGAAATATCATCAGAAGTTTTAATCGTATGAAAGACCTATTGATGCCATTATGGCGCACGAATCTGGCCGATGGCATAGTTTATGTTAGCTTTGAGGATCGCCGTGGTTTGTGACTTATTCGTATACACCTATGACTAAAGAAAACCCTACAAGAAAATGTCTAACGGGGTCAAATCACACGATTTCTGTGGCCAGTTCACATCACCTCCATGTGAGATGAACATGCTCTCAGATCGTTCGTGCAGAATATCCAATGTAGCATTTTTTAAGGACAGACACAAGCACAACAGGAAAACCCTGAAGGCCTCTTAGAGCGGTGCCTGTGCTAAAGTAGCGATTCACATGGGATTTGATTCATTTGATTCGAATCCATTTGGAAAAAAGTTCTCAGGAAGTTTATTTCACATAAACGCAGTTCTCCAGATGGAAGAGTTCTTAAAAAGTGAAGTTCGAGGTGTACTGAGTTGAACCTCAAAACGATGAGCAGTCACAGTCCGTCGCGCATTTCTGATATGTACAGCTCTTGGTGAAATCAAATGTGCCAAGTCACTTGAACACCTTCCGTGCAAGTATCTTTCTTCGATGTTCCACGCTATTAAGGTTGCACGTGATGTTGACGTCTCCAATCAGGCGGATGGCTCTTTTCTGGATAGAATCCAGCAACTTCAGGGTATGTTTGGGGGCAGAGCTCCATACATGAGAACAATACTCCAAAAAAGGTCTGATCTGAGTCGTATAAAGCATTTAAAGTTGCTGAGGTGTGTATAGTTTTCTGGTATCGAAGCAGAAAGCGGAATTGTCTGACCTGACATTATTAAATCCGGTTCGGAGACATTTTTATTCTTAGTGAAAACCGATGCCTGGGTTTTTATGGCATTGAATTGAAACCTGGTTACTTTCACCCCAATTGAAAATCTCTTCTAGATCCTCATTAAGATATGTAACCTCCTGCTGCCAGTGATGATGTCCTGGAATCCAAATGTAATGACGGGACAAATGTGCACAGTTGATATACAATAAAAAATTGGTTGGAGACAATATGGATCCCTAGGAAACACCAGCGTTATTAGTGAAATTATTCGAGAGATATCCATTGACGGCCACTTGCAGGGAACGTTGTTTCAGGAAGCTGAAGAGCCATACACAAAAATGATCCGACAAGCCATAGCATCGAAGTTTGGCCAGCAAACGCTCATGCCACAACGGTCAAAGGCCTTAGAAATATTGAGCGCAACAGCTCTTGATTCTCCATGTTTCTCGATTGCATTATTCCAAATATGTGTGACATACGAAAGAAGGAATAGGCTGAACGCAAGCAATCTCCCAACAAGAAGGAAACACTTCTTTCTGGTAAGACTGGTTGAAAAGTCTGCAAAATATTGGTGCGAGTTCATTTGCGTAGTTGCGTACGATGACGGGCACTTCATCTGGGCCAGATGCCTTGTTAGTATTGAGCTGTTTCAAAATTCGCCTGACTAGACGCTGTCGAAAACTAATTTCCGTCATTGTGGATTCTAGTGTGGGAATAGTGGGTGGTACATTTCCCAGAATATCGACTGTGAAGTGGGACGCAAATTGTTCAGTTAGTGGATTTGCTTTTTCTATGGATGTTGTTGCAATTGAACCATCCGCTTGTGTTAGTGGTGGAATTGTGGATTTTGTAAAGTTCTGATTAACAACTTCAGCTACCGACCAGAAGGATCTAGACCCGTTGAGCTTTGCAAGCAGTTCATCCTTAATTCTCTGATTGTGAATTTCTTTGCTTCTAGCATTAACAAACCTAGCTTGGTTTTCGGCATTGGGATTTTTGCGCCACCGCCGGTAGGCGCAATTTGTGGTCTGCGAAAGGCCCAGTTCTTGTGAGCGACGCGAAATCGAATAACTTGGATTCTCCTGCACACTCTCACAGACAGCGCCGATGTTTTCAGCAGATCTTGCGTTTCATCGACGTACAGGTGTTGACTGAACCAGTGGGCATAAATTTATCCACCACATTGCGAATAGCCCTCTTGATAGGACGATTAAGGAACCAATAAAAAAAATGTATTATTTGCAGGTGTTGCTATATCCCTTTATGTTGATTTGACAAAACAAACTGAATGAATGACAATGTAGCTTCAACAAAATGGCCGTTATCAACTGTCAAAGTTTGGAAGTCTCTGTTGAATTTTTTTTTCATTTATGAGATCTAGGAAAAATTCTGAAAAATCTACTAGTCGGTCTTTTTCTAAGTCAAACTTTTCTGAAAACAATGTATTATCTATTGGGTGTAGTGACAAAGTATCTTTTCTATTTACAATGTTGTATACGTGTTTTTCTAATTTCAACCATCATTCAACTAGTGATGCACTGTTTGGAACCTTTGGTGTAGTAATGAATACTATTGGAGTTTTTTTTGTTTAATCTTCCTCTTGAAGATTATCAATCGGTGATCGAAACACGTGTCGAGGTGTTAAAATAACGGTTTGGTTTGGGAAAAAAACTTCAGTAATATTCATCATTCAACTAATTTTGGGTGCTGAATAACTATTGAAGTGGTCAATTGTCAGTTTCAATAGTAAAAGTTCTATCGAATAAATAAGGCATAGAATATTTCGTGACACTGAAAATTTTTAGTAATTATTTTTCTATAGGATTTATTTTATTCTAAAAGGATCAGTGTTTTTGATGCGTATGCAATAAGATTTATCTCTACCTGAAGGGTCTCGTGATAATACAGCTCATATTTTCAATATTGAAAAATCCAAAAGTATTCTTGATTCTTCCGGAGAGATGGAAAACTTTCGTTCATTGATATAGATATTGTTTTCTGAGTATTATTGAAATTCCAAAGAAAGCACACAAATTTTTTGCATAGGTCTGTTTTACGAACATTGCTTTTTTCAATATATCCATCTGAAATAATTATTTTTCCTTCAGTAATGCTAACAGGATATTTTCTCACTAAGGTTTCATAGAATCATGCTGTTCTCTATAATAAAAAGGAATTTGTCGTCATTTATTGCCTGGGACCTGCACTAGCTGGGCCTGGTAATCCGATCCTTCTGATTAATGGTTAATGGACGAAGCTGATGCTCGTAGTGGATATACAGTTAATAACTGAGTAATTTCAGATTCGATCTCTTCCTCTTCTCCCACCAAATGCGCAAATTATTTTTTTCGGATCCTAAAAACCACTTTTTTGAAAGACTTTCTTTTGGATTCACAGCTTTTATTCTTTGTTCTAGATATTACTCCCACAACGTTACTAACATAACCACACTTTTCCGTAAAGATGAGATACTTTTAAAACCTATCTAGCGTCATCATTTCGAAAAGTGTTGAATAAGCCCAAAAAAATAATTTCCAGAGCCTAATCACTAACTCTTCTCCCAATCTAGTACAGTAAAAAATTCTATAGGTCGAAACTCCTCATGTTTTATGTCGATAGTAACTCACCCAATATTTTCTACAGTACTAGGTTCTACTCAAATGTGAATCAATGAAAATGTTCTCTTCCAATTGTAGCCGCCTGTACCAAAAGCTGCCTGGTCTGGAGTTCTCGATGTTAGATACACTAAACCAGTATGCACCCAAGGAAGTAATCCTGTTATAGGAAGTGAAGATTGTTTATATCTGAAAATATACACAACTAACGTGAGTATTTTTCTGACTAATGAAGACATGAAAATTCAAATTTGTTCAAACTACTATTTGATTTCATTTTCAATGAACAAAACAGTATTTATTTTGCTCCGCAGGGTAATTTATATACATATATTATGTATATCAGAAACAACCAACTACCTTGAAACCCCTATGGTTCCAAACTGGGATCCGAAACGTTGAACACAAAACTCCTGAAGCGGTTCAACCCGAACTCAACGACTGACGCTTTATCACGAAACGTCGTGATGAAACGTCATGTCATATCAAGGAAAGAGTATTTTAATGTTTCATCAAATGTATTTCTTTCAAATGTATCTCTCTTTCCTTGTAGTATTTGAAAAAATGCAAATAGAAGTTATTGACAGCATCAGTCTTTGATATTAGAAGTGCCCATTCTCCTTAAAAACTAATGATATCCATATTTTTCAGTTACCAAAGGAAAAGAAGAACTTACCAGTGATGGTTTGGATTTACGGAGGTGCATACCAGAAAGGATCTCCAGTTTTTGGAGATCACAGCCCTGATCTTTTATTAGACGAAGGTATTATTCTAGTTTCATTTCATTATAGGTTGGGAATATTTGGATTTTTGTCTACGGGTGACCTGATTTCTCCTGGAAACGCTGGACTGAAGGATCAAGTTTTGGCACTGAAGTGGATCAAGAAAAATATAGCTAAATTTGGAGGCGATCCTAACAAAATAACTATTTTTGGACAAAGTGCAGGAGCGGCATCAATTGCTTACTTGCTACAAACAAATATCACTCAAGGTAAAATTTCCCAGTTATTTGTGCATATACTGAGTATGAAAGTTTAGTTTTGGTGCTTAACTCTAATCCATTTTCTCAATATAAATCAGAATATCGATTCGACTGTTTGATATAAAATAGTATAATTGAAGCAAGTCGATAACCGAAGTCGATAACCTTCCAGGCCAGTATGGCCAGGAATCCAGACCAGAGACAATCTATTAAGTATTCCTATTGAGGAGAGTCGTTTTTGGCAATACAACCGGTAGTCCAAATTGAAATGTTCGAGCGCATAAAGTGACGAGGAATTGTTATGTGATCCGCTCGTCTCGTATTCAATTTGTAAACTAATTGTGAATGTTTCTAGAATATTAAAATATGAGAATGATGATGGTGAAGGCATAATTATGATGAATAATGAGTAACAGTGTTCCCTAAAGCCGCAATTTCTCAAAATTCATTTTCTATTTTTTTTTTATAAAAATCTCATTCATTATTGTTTTCGAAAAATAAAATATGGATTTCAGTTCTTGGAAAATAACATTCCATGCTGCTTAGTTTTTTCATTTACTATTCGGAACGTTATTTGGATAAAATTGAAAATACACTCTCACAACTTGACCATTAGAAAACAGAAACATTCAAAAGATTTCAATATGGATTATAATTATGATAATTTAGGTCAACAACCTATGTTTATCTTTGCTGGTAGTTAGTTTTTTGCTTCCCTTCAAATTTTTAAAATGATATGCGTGGTGGTGCATCCCAATAGAACACTCTGTAAAAGAGCTTCTTTGAGGTAGCTAGAGTGGAGGGCAATACCAATATGTACCTCAGAGTGTACAGTTCTAAAACGTACTTCAACGCTCCCTACAAGGTCTTATCACTTTCCAAAAGACAGTCTTACTGAGTTATTGAAAACCTTACATAAGTGGGAAACCCACGGCAAACGAAACAGAAAATAACCAAGCAGATGAAAGGTGCGATTTAGTTTTTACGACCTGGCCCAATTCAAAACTTCAGTTTTTCAAATACATGTCTTTCCAATTGTGATTTCACATTTGAACAGTTCATTATATGTGTGCACCATCAAGTTGATATAATTGTCTGGTATTTATGTTTATCCATTGAATGAACAACATCCTCAATTTAACATATTCGATTGTTGGGTTTTCTCCTTGAGTTACTTACAGAACAGCAGATGACTTTGATCACACTTGCATCAAAATCAGTTCTCTTTTGTTCCATGGATTATCATCTACAAACAAACACACCTTTTCAAACTAAATTACATGACAGCTAACAGTGTCAATTGTTCTGTGTTTCTCTCGTTTGTTCTTCAACCTCATGGCTTTTACCGGTAGTCCATAATTTTGAAACAATTAACGATTTTTATCAAATTTTAATGTGTATCTTGTGAGGAGTCAACGTTTTTCAATTAGTGACTTTATTTATTGTATTGACATGTTTCAATTTTTCATGTTTCAATTTTTCGACACGGCCAACCTCACAAGTTGACCTTTCATTTCAATAATTTCCTATAATGTATTACCATCATACAAAATTTGTAGCTTTTCCCTGAAGATGATAATAAATTTTATCGAAATATTGGAATAACTTGTGTTATAAGAGTACACTTCCGTTCTGCTGATAGGGTCTTATCTTCTTGGATTTCTTCTTCATCCGTGGGGATATCGTCGAAATCTGGATCGTAGGTTTTGTTTTCGTAGCTTGGCAAGGCCTCAAAAAGTTTATAATACTTTAGATTACGATTTTGGGTATTAATTTCCATGACTTTCTCAAAGTATTTATATGATTCAGCCAGTTCCATACTGCTAATATCATAACGGTCTAGTGTTTCTGCTAGCAATGCAAGTATTGCATCCCTTGAAATATTCTTTCCGAAACTATGGATTTTATCCAATAATTCCCCCATTTTTGTCGCGTGTCAGCCTAAAAAACTTTTAGGGGATAGCGGTTTGTAAAACTATAAAACTGTCACTATTCTCACGTCGATGCTTTCGTATCAACGTCTCAATCGCAACTGCTCCCTTGACTCCTCGTCATCACGACCAAATGAATGGATGAATACGTTCATTATGTCTCTTTTGGTGTGTTACATGTTTTTATAAATTTACAATTTTTATGTGCCCTGCTTTAGGCTCATGCCTCTTCAGGGGCATGAGCCTCTGAAAATAATTCCAACTAGTCATATAATTTCTCTGCAGTTGATTCAGTGGATGTACACTACGCCACCTGCAGACAGACCAGGAAACAACTTCACAAGCATACCCCGGGGTGGGAGTCGGAATAATAATTAATATTCCGGAGAGGTTCATTGTGACATGCTCAGGGTTGCCCATTTCCTCTCATGCAGACCTACGACTTTGTAGGTAGGTGTGGCAGATACCCAACGGAAAAACAACAACTCACCCAGATTATACCGCGCAGAGAGTTGAAGTAAAACCATTAGGCATCTGTGCAACGTCTTCGACTTGGAAGATTCGTCGCAAATCATTTCCACCCCACGAGTTACCCGAGAAACAGACCAACCAGACAAAAGCTTTTCTCCCCTACATCCATGGAGTCACTAACAAAGTGAGCCGAATACTGAAGAAACATAACGTGAAGACAGTATTTATAGCCAACAACCAAATCTCTACTATGTTAAGAACACCCAAGGATACGATACCCAATGAAGTACTGCATGTTCGTACTGCATGCTGAGGAACACAGCAAACATAGAACTAGCAACGAGACTTGGGGACAAGGGAGATTACGACCTCGTCCTCGAGTCATGCAAGTACAAATCTAAGTGATTCTTGAGAATGGCTCCAAAGCAGGAGCCGAAACGTCGAAACGATGAAAATTACAGACGCGGTTCAACCCAGATATAAGTACACCATATAGAGTCCTTGCATTAGATCATGCTGATGTATTGTTTGTAGATGATAATCCATGGAACAAAAGAGAACTGATTTTGGTGCAAGTGTGATCAGAGTCATCTGCTGTTCTGTAAGTAACTCAAGGAGAAAACCCAAAAATCGAATATGTTGAATTGAGGATGTTGTTCATTCAAATATATTTATTGAAAAATTCCACTCTGTTTTGTCTTGTCTTCAATATTTTTTATACTTTGTTTTGAAAGGTAATAACGAATTTTTTCAGGGCTCTTCAATGCCGCTATTATGCATTCCGGCCATTCACTTAGTCAATGGGCTCTAACAAGAAATGCTCCCACTTTAACGAAAAATATTGCCAAAGTTTTGAAAACTTCAACTTCTTCATCTGAAAAAATGATAGAAGGGCTCAAAAAAATCAATTCCACAATTCTACAACAAGAAGCAACAGCAAAATTTTCAGTGAGTATGACGATATCAAAAACTTGTGATTGTTCTAAATTTTTACTGAAACTACTTTTCTATGTCTTGAAGTGATGAAGTGAAGTCATTATACTCTCATTGAAAATCATGAATCACCCGACCACTTATGAGAGTTATTATCGAGAGAGAAATAGAAGAGGATAGAAGACACAACGTTTATAGCTTATAACTACCAAAAAAAATGATAAAACATCCTCATCCTCGAAAATTTTTTCAAAACTTATTCATTCAACATTTTTTCAGGAATGATGTTCTGAACAACAATAATTCAACTGTTAAAATCTGTCTGTCTGATAAAATCTCTATTTCCATTAACCAGCTGTCGCCCCCTACTATCTACAAACCTCAAAAGTCGGAACTCGTACGAGCTAAAGACTAACGAGGACTAACTTTTTAATATACGATTTCCAGCACATAATCTACTGGTAATATCTAAATCTACAATTATTCATTTTTATGTATTTTCATGAAATCATCAATAATCGGATTAATTGACAGGACTGTTTCAAACAGTCAAATAATAGTATTTTAAATGATAACAAACGTCTTCATCATTTTCATGTTGCCATTCTTGATGAAAGGAAATGAAAAATGCTCCAATCACACCTCAAAGGTTAACAGTAAGGACATGAAATTCTGCACACCCATTGGGGTATGAATGACAGTTATAGTGGGTCCACCATGAAATTGCTGCCACCTTCAGGGTTGACTCCAAACCAGAGAATTCCTCAACGGTCGGCAGTAGGAACTTGAAATTTTGGATACCCGTTCGGATATGATACACGGTTTGTGGGTCCAACATGAAATTGCTGGCACATACAGGGTTGTCTCCAAACCAGACCTTAACGGTCAACAGTGGTAACAGGCATAAGAGGCATGCAATGATTTGTGTAATTTGGTGAGATGGGCGTCAATAGCATTGGTTTGCAACCTGTCTAGGAGACGGAAAACTCCAAAATAAAACCCGGAACTCTGTTTCTTCTGATATGAGTAAGCTTCAAACTGAAACAAGTGGCGTGTATTATACCAAATTACTACCCAAGTCAAGCTGAGGCAGTGTGGAGGACTGGGTGGTATCAGGGTATATCCGCCTCAGGGCACCTGGGCGAACCCAGTTGTATATTGGATCTTGCCCTTCTAAACGAAGCTCTGGAAGGATTGACGGATATTTCTTTGGTACTCGTGGGAACATTATGGGAAATAAAGAAACAACGGCACAAAGAAGGTTAGAGAAAAAGAAGTTAAAACGGCAAGAAAATTTTGCCAGTGAGAGCGCTGACATGAAGCGCCAACGACTTGACAAAAGGCGTGGTGAGGTGCGTAGTGAATCACCCACTCAGGCCCATATAACAATAACGCACTCAATGAAATGAATAGACTAAAAAATATATCTAACGAAAACTAAAAAATATAAAATTAATTAAGTTTATTCATAAATAGCGAAAAAAATGCAGACCTTCTATTGTTACAAAATCAAATGTCTAATAAAAAAAATCTTAGTAATATGAGGCTTAGAATAAACAAAAAATCCAACGAAGCTGATATTATCAGCTTGTGTGTGGTGACATATTATTCTGGTGTGATGTTGACGAATCAAATGTAATACAGTCAAATTAATGGAAAAGAAAACAAGGGTAAATATGAGATTATAGGTTAACCAAAAGAATGTGTTTTCAACTAGCTTGAGAGTTTCGGATATAGCTTAATTATAAAAAGAGCAGCAGAAAGTTGGAACAAAAATGGCTTAAGAGAAGTGTAAACAATATAATTTTTTCTCAAGGAAATAATACTAAATAATAATACCAAACATTTCATAAAAGTAAAATTACTATTCAGGACATCATAACGATAAGATTAAGAGTATTCAACAGAATATATGAATTGTAACTATAATTTGTTATGATGTAAGGATAATTAGTACAAAAGAATCGTTTTAAACGTTATATTTACATCACAAATTAATCATGAAATATGGGGCAAGCGCGATCATCAAAATCAGGAAAGTATAACTTGTGTTGATATGATAATGGCATGCCTCAGATTTCCACAGAAAAATCTGACAGAACGAGTGTGTGAAAAAAATTATTTCAAATAGCCTTTACTTAATATCAATCATAGTATGTATTTTTATATCGACTAATCGATGTGTTAAAATTCTTGATTTTGAAGTCAGTCATAATTTCAGCTTCTTCTTGAACAGAGATAATGAGTTTAGTTGTTTCAGTTCATTTGGTAGATCGTTGTATATCTTTGGCTCAAGAAACATGCTAGATCTCTGGGATATAGTTTTAGTCACATGTGGAACTAAAATGTTAAATTTTGTTGACCTTGTGGAGTAGGAATAATCTAGAAATATTTTGCTCCGATTGTTTTACATCTGATATATTGCCAAGCTTGTAAAGGTCATCTGATGGGTAGGGAATTGGTTTTCTGAATATTATTTTCAAAATCCATTTTTGAATTATTTCAACATTCTTTATAATGTTATTATATGCCCCTCCCCAAGCTATTATGCCATATCTCAGTTGGGATTTCACTAATGCGCAGTACAGCATTAAGAGATGTTTTTCTTCAAGAATGTTTCCTAAATATTTGAATTTAGACAATAGGCTTCTAATTTTTTGCACTAATTTCCTAATGTATACGTTCCATTTCAAATATTGTCTATCATCACACCGAGATATTCTAATTCTGTAGCTTGTGTGATTTTCACGATGCTGTTTTCACCTCTGATTTCAAAGGGTTGAAGACTGGGTAAGTTTTTGTTATTCACTGAAAAAGCTAAATATTTTGTTTTAAGAAAATGTATAGTCAATAATTTGGAATTGAGCCAGTCAATGATTGTTTTAAAGTCATTTTGTACTTTAGTGATGAGCGAGTTCCAGTTTTCGGCTTCATAAAAAACTGATGTGTCGTCTGCATAGCTTATAATTGTCCCATCAGTGTGGAGATTAAACAGGTTATTGAGATATACTGTGAAAAGAATTGGACCAAGTATGGTACCTTGAGGTACCCCAAACTTCATCACTTCATATTTACTTAAAGTATTACCTACTTTGACACACTGCTTTCTCTCACTCAAGTAACTTTTAATGAGAGTAAAACACGTTCCACGAATACCTAAATCTTCTAAAGCGTTCAGGAGTTTATTATGACTGACAGTATCGAACGCCTTGGCCAGATCAACGAATATGCAGAGGCACGGTTTACTACTATCAAAGGATTTATAAAATTGTGTAGTTAATTCCTTTATCGCATCCTGTGTTGACCTGGCCTCTCTAAATCCAAACTGTCTAGATGAGAGGAGATTATATTTCTCAAAAAAATCTGTTAACCTTCTCTTTAAAATATATTCTAGAATTTTAATTATATCAGTGATTAGAGAAATCGGTCTATAATTTATGCATTTCAATTTTTCTCCTTTTTAAAAAATGGGTTTAATAACTGTCGTCTTTAAAGATTTAGGCCAATATCCTGTCGTTAGTATTTTATTGATGAGCAGTGTTAGTGGCTCTTCAATATATTCTTTAATATGCTGCAGAACTTCTACTGATATTTCATCTATTCCTGGTGCTTTGTGTTTTTTTAAGTTGTTAATTATTGCTTCAACTTCATCTATATTTGCTTCTGTAAAATATATTGAGCTTTGGTTAACAGTTCTGAGCTCTTTATAATTCCGCGGAGTTTCTATTTTGAGCACTAGGTCCTCAGCAATTTTAGTATAATGCTCTAAAAAATTGTCCGCAATCTCTATAGTGTTAGTTGTAGTTTTGTTATCCCCATTTTCAATTTCTGTTACTTGCGTGCTTTTGGATGGTTTAGAGCAAGCAGCATTTACTGTTTTCCATAGTAGTTTTGCACTGTTTTAATTTTTATCGATCTCGTTCTTATAATAATCAGCCTTAGATTTCTTCAACAATGTATTCAATTAATTTCTATACGTTTTGAATTGTCTTAATAGAGAATGATTTTCATTACCAAGTTTCCATTGATTGAATAACATATTCCTTCTGGCGACAGAGTTTACTAGAGCTGAGGTTATCCAAGGTTTTCTCTTCTTTTGTATTTTATTTGTCACCTCTTTTGTACTAGCATTCCATATTTCTTTTATTTTTTTTATGAATAGATCAGTTGCTGATTCTACGTCCTCGGTTGCATAGAAGTTGTCCCACTTTTCACATTTCATTAATATTTCGAGTTTGTGATAGTCAATTATTTTCTTAGTGTCAAATTTCTCTTTGTTCAGGTTCTTATCGGTTTCAAATTCAATCATAGTCGTGAAGTGATCTGTGATGTGAGTATTCAGTAGAAAAGGAGACACGTTGTTATGTATATTACTAATAAAGATATGGTCCAAGCAATTACCTGAGTTTCCTTGTGCTCTAGTAATTTCGTTAATAGTGGAGACGAAATTAGATTCGTGGAGAATATTGAGATACTTTTGAGTTACATCATTTTCATCCAGTAAATTGATATTCAAATCCCCCAAAATTATATTCTGGTGGTTTTTGTTAATATGGTTTTTTATATATTCTTTAAGGTTTTGGTTAAAAGCATAAGGACAGGAAGAGGGAGATCTATAAGCGCAAGTTATTCTTGAATAGTTTTTAGGTAGTTTGATAGTCACTTTAACAGCAGTTACCTCGTATATTTCACAAAGCTCAAAGTCATAATTATAACTATCTCTGATGTAAACTACGACCCCATCGTTCTGGTTGAGTTCGCCTTCGCTGTATATTAAGTTGTAACCATTTAAGTTGTATAAACTAACGTCTTGTATTTTCCACGTCTCAGTAAGAACGATGATGTCGATATTTATATTGAAGTTACTTAGAAATATTTCAAAATCTCCAAAAATGTTTGCCAAGCTTCTAATGTTCATTTGCAAGACTCTGAAATTTGCTTCCATTTTCATTTCATTTTCGTACTCCATAACATATTGACAACTAATAGTATCTGATACATTGCTTTCAAAATCT